ATTGTGACCACTACGCAATAAAAATTGAAGCTAGCGTACGACGCAAGACTTACACCGCACGCAGAACGTGTTAGCTGCAGGCGTAGGAAGATCACGAGGAATCAGGACGCGATCAAAGGATGTGATCCTTTACACCGACATGTGATCCCTAGGGATCTCCGTGGCGCATTATAGGATCACTAATTCCGAGACTTCGACTTCCGACATGACCGCGGCCATGACAGGTCAACGTTATGCCGTCAAATGACATCTTCTTTACTGAACATAAGTAGCTGCAGATGTTTATATGTGTACTGAAAAAAGCTTCATGGAAATAATTGATAAACATAGTATAATCACTATAATGTACTGAGTGCCATGATAATCCAATCAATTTTTTATTTATCAATTTATCTCAATATATGAATATAATAATGTGCTTATTAATTATTTATTTATCAATTTTTCACGATTTTTGCTTATCAATTATTTACTTATCAACTTATCAACATGGTAATATGTTTATCAATTGATGAATTAAACATGATAATATGCTGTTGTTTCCGGTGCTAACAGTTGATTCCATCGGTATCAGTTGTTTCCAGTTTTAAGCAGTTGTTTTCAGTGGTAACAGTTGTTTCCAGTGGTAACAGTTGTTTCCAATGGTAACAGTTGTTTCCAATGGTAACAGTTGTTTCCAGTGGTAACAGTTGTTTCCAGTGGTAACAGTTGTTTCCGGTGGTAACAGTTGTTTCCGGTGGTAACAGTTGTTTCCAGTGGTAACAGTTGTTTCCAGTGGTAACAGTTGTTTCCGGTGGTAACAGTTATTTCCAGTGATAACAGTTGTTTCCGGTGGTAACAGTTGTTTTCAGTGGTAACAGTTGTTTCCAGTGGTAACAGTTGTTTCCGGTGGTAACAGTTGTTTCCAGTGGTAACAGTTGTTTCCAGTGGTAACAGTTGTTTTCAGTGGTAACAGTTGTTTCCAGTTTTTGCTTATCAATTATTTACTTATCAACTTATCAACATGATAATATGCTTATCAATTATTTATTTATCGATGTATCAACATGGTACTATGTTTATCAATTATTTATTTATGAAATTATTATCATGATGATATGCTTATCAAGTGATAAATTCAACATGATAATATGCTGTTGTTTCCGGTGGTAACAGTTGTTTCCAGTGGTAAGTTGTTTCCGGTGGTAACAGTTGATTCCATCGGTATCAGTTGTTTTCAGTGCTAACAGTTGATTCCAGTGGTAGCAGTTGTTTTCAGTGGTAACAGTTGATTCCGGTGGGAACAGTTTAAAGAACAAAGATTGCAGCAGAAAGTCGCGGTTTCGGTCCCAGCTTCCAGCGACAGTTCTGGTCAGAATCGGCGGGGAGGCCGGGCGGTTTAGCACAGCAAGACTGCCAGCAGTGAGTTGCGTGTTCGAGTCCAGAACAAGCTGTGAATGTTGTGGTCTCTCACAACTATAATACTCTATACAATAATATAATATATTATGCTATACATTACTATACTATAAAATGCCATACTTTACTATCCTATACTATACTATTCAATAGATGTGAGCGATGTATAATGGCTTAAGCGGAAGCACCTAAGGAAAATATGCCTTACAATGCATAATAAAATCACTCTCTATCACGATCATCATCATCACCACCACCACCACCACCACCACCATCATACCCCCCTCCCCTCCGGGAGGCTCTCCCGCTGATGAGTTTTGCGGCGACTCTTCAGAGCCGTTAAGAGCGCGCGCCTGTCGTTATATTTACGACAAGTGACGTGTAGTTACGTCACTACCCTAACAAAATTTAGAGCCGAGGGCGGCTCTGGATTAAGGAACGCCTAGGACTCCATATATATAGTCCAGCATAGTCCACCAGCTTCCATATGTCCGCTTTTTGGTCTACATTTCGGTCCCCGAATCAGACAGCTACAAGCGCCTGGTCCTTATTCTGCCAACTCTTGCCCTACTCTCAGGAGACCATAAAGTCGGCAAGGAGGTTCTGACTAGTCGCTGATTGCGATCAGTTGGCCAACTGACCCAGAATAACTCTAACGCGAACATAGCAACTCTGGGGCGGAGGCTGAAGCTTACCCAGAATTTTGTTAGGGTAGAAATATTTACAACAAGAGACGTGTAGTTACGACGCTAGAAATATTTACGGTAAGTGACGTAAATATATTATATTTGTTGCGGCGACTGCAGCCTTAATATTTAAAATTTACTGCCACAATTAGGGTAATTATAAATCGTTCACAGTTATAACACTGGATGCTATGTAAAAATATACAATTAAAAACAAAACTGGTAAGATGATCAATTGCATCAATTAAATACGACTGACAAATCCGTCCGTTTATCAACTCCATTAAACCGCCACTTGGCCGGAGCACTTACTGATGCTCTACCCTCCAGCGTCCCAAAAATTACAATTTATTAGTAAGCGAATCTCGTCTCTGTTATGCACCAAAAAATGTTTTTATTTTAGCACCTTCTGTTATCATCTTAACCAACTTTAGCGCCCCAGTTATCTTAAGTTATCTTAACCAACTTTGGCACCCCAGTTTTTGTAAGTTATCTTAACCAACTTTAGCACGCCAGTTATCTTAACCAACTTCTGCTCCCATTTTTATCATTTGTATACAAAAGTAAAGAACCCCGCGGCTGCGATGCTGCTGTCGCTCCATCCATGGCAACACTTTTTTTTTGCTCACGACAATCATCCTATTTTTCTTATTGGCAAGCAACTCATTTTTTAAATCAAGCAAAAATTATCCCCACTCGCGGAGGCATGGAAAGCTTGCAGTAAACCACGCCGGCGAATTAAAGCCTTCCGAGTTGATAATGTAATTAATGATCTTAAAATTAATTAAATTTAATGTAATAATAATAATTTTGCTGAAGACAAAAGAGCGCTCGCCCAATCCTGCCTCGTGTACTCAATACACATCCTGTATTGCTGCCTCGTGTACTCAATAAACATCCTGAATTTCTACCTCGTGTACTCAATACACATCCTGTGTTGCTGCCTCGTGTACTCAATACACATCCTGTATTGCTGCCTCGTGTACTCAATAAACATCCTGTATTGCTGCCTCGTGTACTCTATACACATCCTGTATTGCTGCCTCGTGTACTCAATATACATCCTGTATTGCTGCCTCGTGTACTCAATATACATCCTGTATTGCTGCCTCGTGTACTCAAAATGCATCCTGTATTTTTCTGACTTGAATAGGAAGTAAGAAGAATAGGTACGATGTATATATTGAATATTACCTTCGGAATTACAAAAATTACAAAATTACAAAAATTCGGAATTACAAAAGAATAAGTATAGACAAATGTAATGAGACCGACTAGCTTAGTTCCGTTGTTAGAGCAGGCAACTCAATTAAGGCATCGAACCAATTTTTAAAGGAAGCAGTTAGCGATTTATTAGTTTTTCAAACTATAGGAAATGTAAATACAAGTGGAAAGAAAGTGCAGTTACAACTCCAATTAATAATGCCGATTAAAATTCATAAAGACAGGACATCATTTACTGATGGGCAAGAAATTCGACAACTTTTCGATACAAGATAAAGATTGCTATCTCTGGTAAAGATTTTTATCTTATGATTGTTATCATAAAAATTGCTATCATAAAAATTTCTATCATAAAAATTGCTATCATAAAGATTGTTATCTCATGATCGCTATCATAAATATTGTTATCTTTGGTAGAGATTGTTATCATAAAGATTTTTATCTTAATTTGTTATCTTATGATTATTATCATAAAGCTTGTCATATCATGATTGTTATCATAAAGATTGTTATCTCTGGTAAATATTGTTATGTTATGATTATTATCATAAAGATTGCTATCATAAGGATTGTTATCTCTGGTAAAGATTGTTATCATGAAGATAGTTATCATACAGATTGTTATCATAAAGATTGTTATCTCTGTTAACCGCCCAAGCACACAAAAGCTACAATTGTTACCGTTAGTTCAGGACTGTAGGCTGACAAATCGTTTTTGTTTCCCTGCGTCTTTTAATTCAGTCGCCGAGGACGCTTTTTAGGCTGGCGAGGCAACAGCTTCATTAGAAGCCGAGACAATAGGCTTAAAAAACATGGTGCCTTCATTGAATTATGTTATGGTCAATTTGATAGGTCGGTAAATCAAGAAAGCTGCGTAAAAAGACTTTTCAGTCACAGGTAATTATGGAAATATATTCGTATAAGTTCACGAAGATTGTTTAAATAAGCGATCGAGTTGATTCAAATGAATTTCAATATGGCGTCCTTATGTTATGGTCAATTTGATAGTCAAGAAATATAGAAGTAGATATAGAAATATAGGTCGGTAATCCGCCTACTCAGTCATAGGTAATTATGGAAATATATTCATATAAGTTCACGAAGATTGTTTAAATAAACGAGTTAATTGAAATGAACTTCAATATTGCGTCCAGGGTGGTCATATTACCTTATAGTCAATTTGATAGGTCGGTAAATCAAGAAATATAGAAGTAGATATAGAAATATAGGTCGGTAATCCGCCTACTCAGTCATAGGTAATTATGGAAATATATTCATATAGGTTCACGAAGACTGTTTACATAAACGTGTTAATTGAAATGAACTTCAATATTGCGTCCAGGGTGGTTATGTTACCTTAAAATTTTCAATCAAATTAATTCGACTTTTTGAACTGTCAGTCTAATATAGAAGCTGATCACTCAAGATGAATATCAAATTTTAGCTGCGACATACTTACGGAAGGAATCACAAAAAATAATAATGAAAATAACTATAATTAGCCTTTAACTAATATTTTTATTTAACTAAAATTTATATTTAACTAATATTTAACAATATTTTTTTAGTGTAATACAATTATAGACATGGTGACACTATACAATTATATAAGTAAGTGACACTATGCATGGAAGTGTCACTTACTTATCACTGATAAGCTGAGAAATTTAAATTTCTTTTTCCCATACCCATTTAATCCCTCACTCCATCACCCACTTCATCCCCCACTTTATCCTCCCCCACTTCATCCCTCACTTTATCCTCCCTCACTTTATCCTCCCTCACTTTATCCTACCTCACTTTATCCTACCTCACTTTATCCTCCCTCACTTTATCCTCCCTCACTTTATCCTCCCTCACTTTATCCTCCCTCACTTTATTCTCCCTCACTTTATCCTTCCTCACTTTATCCTCCATCACTTTATCCTCCCTCACTTTATCCTACCTAACTTTATCCTCCCTCACTTCATCCCTCACTTTATCCTCCCTCACTTCATCCCTCACTTAACCCTCCCTCACTTTATCCTCCCTCCCTTTATCCTCCCTCCCTTTATCCTCCCTCCCTTTATCCTCCCTCCCATTATCCTCCCTCACTTTATCCTACCTCACTTTATTCTACCTCACTTTATCTTCCCTCCCTTTATCCTCCCTCCCTTTATCCTCCCTCACTTTATCCTCCCTTACTTTATCCCTGTCTCTTATACACATCTAGATGTGTATAAGAGACAGATGGATGGGTATGNACGTTAAGACAACAGCACGTTAAGATAACAACAAGTTAGGATAGCAGCACGGAAAGATAACAACACGTTAAGATAACAGCAAGTTAAGATAACAGCAAGTTAAGATAACAACACGTTAAGATAGCAGCACGTTAAGATAACAGTACGTTAAGATAACAGTACGTTAAGATAACAGCAAGTTGAGATACCAGCACGTTAAGATAACACGTTTAGATAACAACACGTTTAGATAACAACACGTTAAGAAAACAACACGTTAAGATAACAGCAAGTTAAGATAACAGCAAGTTAAGATAGCAGCACGTTAAGATAACAGCACATTAAGACAAGAGAACAGCAGGATAACAGCACGTTAAGATAACACCATATTAAGATAAAAGCACGTTAAGATAACAACACGTAAAGATAACAGCAAGTTAAGATAACAGCAAGTTAAGATAACAGCAAGTTAAGATAACAGCACGTTAAGATAACAGCACGTTAAGATAACAGCACGTTAAGATAATAGCGCGTTTAGATAACAGCATGTTAAGATAAAAGAACAGCAAGATAATAGTACGTTAAGATAACACCACATTAAGATAACAACACGTTAAGATAACACCACGTTAAGTTACCAGCACGTTAAGATAACACCACGTAAAGATAACAGCACATTAGGATAACAGCACGTTAAGATAACAACACCTTAAGATAACACCACGTTAAGATAACAGTACGTTAAGATAACAGCGCGTTAAGATAACACCACGTTAAGATAACAGCACGTTAAGATAACAGCACGTAAAGATAGCAGCACATTAGGATAACAGCGTGTTAAGATAACAACACCTTAAGATAACACCACGTTAAGATAACACCGCGTTAAGATAACACCACGTTAAGATAACACCACGTTAAGATAACAGTACGTTAACAGTACGTTAAGATACCAGCGCGTTAAGATAACACCACGTTAAGATAACAGCACGTTAAGATAACAGCACGTTTAGATAGCAGCACGTTAAGATAATGGCACGTCCAGATAACAACACGCTAAGATAACAGCCCGTTAAGATAACAACACATTAAGATAACAGCACGTTTAGATAACAAGTTATGATAACAGCACGTTAAGAAAACAACAAGTTATGATAACACATTATGATAACAACACGTTAAGATACAGCACGTTAAGATAACAGCAAGTTAAGACAACAGCACGTTAAGATAACAGCACGTTAAGATAACAACAAGTTAAGACAACAGCACGTTAAGATAACAGCACGTTAAGATAACTGCCCGTTTAGATAACAGCAAGTTAAGATAACAGCACGTTAAGATAACAACAAGTTAAGACAACAGCACGTCAAGATAACAACACGTTAAGATAACAGCACATTAAGATAACGCGTTAAGATAGCAGCACGTCAAGATAATAGCACGTTAAGATAAAAAGTTAAGATAACAACACATTAAGATAACAACGTGTTGAGATAACAGCACGCTAAGATAGTCTCTAAATAGTTAGCGTATCTAAACTCGCCGTCGCTCTGGCGACTCGAGTGCAGGTCTTGAGTGGCGTTCACGCCGCCGTGGGAGACCGCGTCGTAGGGCCTTCCCATCACAACAAAATGAATGAAATTATGGCTATATTAATAATAAGAATAATAATATTATTATTATTACTATTATTAATATTATTACTACAATTATCATTGCCAATATATTAATATGAAAATATGGCTCTATTATTAATAGTACTAATAATTATTCTCATTATCATTACTATTATTATTGCTATATTATTATTATATTAGTATGAAATTATGGCTCTATTTAAATACGATGTGCCGTGCTATTTAAATATGGCATACCGCGCTATTTAAATATGGCATACCGCGCTATTTAAATATGGCATACCGCGCTATTTAAATATGGCATACCGAGCTATTTAAATATGGCATACCGAGCTATTTAAATATGGCATACCGCACTATTTAAATATGGCATACCGCGCTATTTAAATACGGCATACCGCGCTATTTAAATATGGCAAACTGCGCTATTTAAATATGGCATACCTCGCTATTTAAATCATTTCACGAGATTTTATTTCTTATAAAATTATTACATACGTGAGCTTTCAACCAAATGACCGCTGGTGAGTCGTAAGATCGATTAATTAAGCAATAATTTTGTTCTCATCCAACTGACTTGACCGGTTTAAAAAAAAGATCAATAAACGCATTTTTATTATAGATTTTTATTGAAAAGCATATTAAAATAACGCGCTGTGCTGCACAGTGAGCGTTACTGGCAGTTCTGAACTCAATATTGCACGCTGTGCTGCACAGCGCGCGGTACTGGCAGTTCTGAACTCAATATTGCGGGCTGTGCTGCACAGTGAGCGTTACTGGCAGTTCTGAACTCAATATTGCACGCTGTGCTGCACAGCAAGCGGTACTGGCAGTTCTGAACTCAATATTGCACGCTGTGCTGCACAGCAAGCGTTGCTGGCAGTTCTGAACTCAATATTGCGTGCTGTGCTGCACAGCAAGCGTTACTCTGTACTGCACAGCGAGCGTCACATGAGAATAAATACATTTCCTCGCAATCGATGCAGTGGAGCCAGTAAATTGCTTGAATTTATGCGAATTTTTTCTGAAGCTGAAATTGGCGGCTTTAAAGAGCAGCTTAGGGGGGATATTGGGCTGTAGAATATTGATAAATTTAAGTTTAATATTGAAGCTCTGAGATGGCAATAAAAATGCTTGACGAGTTCCGCAAAAAATTGCAGAGATTAATAATTGTTAATTTAATTCTTCTAAGTGAAGATGAGGGAAAAAGTGGCAGACAAAGTAATATTGTACAATAGTTGTTCAAAACTTCCATGATGATGTGAAGAGAAAAAGAAAATAATTTCATTTAATTACATAACTATAACAAAAAAAATCATCCGATTGATAATTATGAAGATTCTAGAGATTTTTTTCTGCAAGTAAAATTTGTTGAATGGATACCCGTTACAGCAATATTATATTAACACAAGCCAAATACAGGCATGCCACGCTATCTAAGTTGATATAAAGCATCAAAAAATGTGTTAGTTTGCAGAGGCTGCGACGCCTGAGCTCTGACGAATGCGAAGCTCGAAGTGAAAAACGCAGAAGCGTTGAAATGTAAGACAAGTCAGAGATTGGGAAGAGGTTTGGTTTCAAGTTTAATGAAACAAAACAATGATATAAAGCAGACAGAATAAGCATATTTAAAACCATTTGGACAGAAATATTATTACACAAGAAAGCCTGAACTCCGACACTTGTTATTTCGATTCAAGATTGATAAGGATTGTATATAAAGCTTCCGCATATGATTCCTAATAGCTCATGAATGAAGTAAGAAAAAACTCTGAAAAAGATTAAAGTTTTAACATTTGTTCTCAGTTCTCAAATCGACTCCCAATTCCCTGTACCCGTGGGTCTATAAATGCCCCAATTCCTTGCACCCGTGGGTCCATAAATGCCCCAATTCCTTGCACCCGTGGGTCTATAAGTGAACCAATTCCTTGTACCCGCCGGTCTACAAATGCCCCAGTTCCTTGCACCCGTGGGTCTATGAATGAACCAATTCTAAGGGGTCATTCATAGGCAAGGCCCCGTGGGTCTACAAATACCCCAATTCCAGTAAACACGCGGTAATCTCAAATGGCCTCCAGACCCTGAAAACATTTTCATTTAAAAATAGACTCACGAAATAGCTTTCAGTTCTTGGAAACAAGCGGCAGTTTGAAATGGCTGCCAGATTGCAAAACACGCAACTGCTAAATGGCCGAGTTTGGGACCACAGCGATGTCCTATAATGACATCACTCAGTACAGACGTGGCGGCGCTACACCAAACAACATCTGTCCTAATGCGGCCATTACGGTGGCCAGATAATTCCAGGCGACGGACGCTTCTGTTTTGCACACAAAATCGTTCATAAACTTCGAAAAAGTCTTTGTTGTTGCCACAAAAACTCTTCTCTACATGAGAATTCGTCTAAAAATTATGTCTATAAAGAATATAGAAGCAAAGAAAATAGCCAGAAAATTCATCGTTTCTTATAAAGGAAAACGTTTCGGAGTTCAGCTCCATCGTCAGTCCAAAACCGAAAATACAGGTACAAACAATTAGCAAATAAATTCACATTGATGCATAAATCGCCAAATGAAAACAAATAAGAATGAAGTCAATATGAGCAGACAAAGCTATCTATTTACAATTTCGAGGGGATATGAACTTTTTGCTTTAAATTTAAAGTAAGCTTTTGTTTAAAAATATAAAGGAACTCTAAAATTTGCAGGTCAGAAACACCGGTTGTGGAAGCTAAATTCCAAAATCACTATCTGTCACCGAAGTTGCTCTGCTCGGCATGAACGCGTACTGCTGAATGAAGGGGATGCGCAAGCAGGTTTCCTGTTCTAAAACTCCTTCCTTTGTGCTCCGCCAGCCTAGCATAAAAATTACGTGGTTTCATACCGACATACGCAAATGCGCACTGCGCACAACTATATTGATAAGCTAGGGATGATCGCATAGGAACAGGGAGCGTATCTTTATTCCTGAAAAAAAAGAACTAATTTTAATATTATTCACCAAAAATACATGAAGGTTTACATTTGGGAGGTATTTATACAGATTACAAACCTTTCAACTCTTTAGCCATAGACTCAGAAGCGGGAGGACCAAAGTAAAGAAATGAACAATAAACAGCATTCCTATCGTCACGTTCGGGAACAACCCTAGAATATTGCTTAGACGAAAATTTCTTAATTTGAGTACATACCAATTGCGACGGAAACCCATTAAGTGGAAACGTACTGCGTAAAGATTCAAATTCAGAGTGCATAGTATGGAAAGTAGAGCAAATACGAAAGCCACGGTTTACATTAAAAGCCCAGTTTAAATGAACACAACAGTTAACATAACCTCAAAATTGTAA